GTCGAGTACGCTCTCACGCTCTTCATTTGAATGTGTCATTTTTGACAGGATCTCACCGATGGCCGGCTCCAGCCGCTTGTTATGACGTTGCTTTCAAATTCTACAATAGCAAACAAGGTGAAAAGGCACCAGCTTTAGAGGATAATGAGGAAGCCATAGACATGAAATCAAAAGAAGATCTTAAATTGGTAATAGTGCGTGGGAAAAAAGGCTACGAGACCAAAGCAAATAAAAAATCTTTAAAAACCCGCCCGTACAAAATCAATCCTAACTATGTAAATACGGCTCTGATATATGGCGATCTAAAACTTATTGATATACAGATTATCACAGACTAAAATAAATAGACTGAGGTGCATCGAAATCATGTTTTGATTTAAATGAAAGGTTTGGATTATAGTAAAAAACAAATAAAAACACAATACGGCGCCACTATCCAACATTAAATACCGCACATCATCTTACAATTATTCATAAAGCGACTTTTTCAAAATAAGGTTTTATATGGGAAGTAATCGGAAAAGTGTTCCGATGCTAACCATTTTCAATAGCGTCCTTCCCTAACCTAAAATACGTTGACATTTTCAAAAATTGCCGTCAGTAAGTTGAACATAAGAATACCTGGACCCAGACCTCAGGTCGACAAACGAACGAATGGACAAGCAGGCTTAGACTGATTCAGGCTTAGACTGATCAGTTTAACAAAAGATTGGTCTATTCTAAGCTCTCCTGGATTGTTAAATCACATCTTCGCAAACAACTTGAAAAAAAATTCCTTTCAAATCTCAATCGAAAGTTTGTTTTATTAGGTACTTGCGTTAATTTTGATAGGCGACATCTACAGGTAATAATTATAAAGAAATGGGAAAATGCCAGTGCTTATAACAATTTGTTGCAAGAGTTGTCCACTCTGCCAAATCAATGTAAGTTTCTTCGACACGAAAACGTCGTATTACAAAAAATATTGTGAAATGTTGCAGAAAACGATAGAAACTATTTTGATTAGTGTGCAGTAAAAGTTCTTCTTTATTCGCGGGGTATATGTGCCACGAATACAGAAACCGTGAATACGGAATGGTAATTGGATACCAATTGGAATCCTTTTACTATTATGTATATACATATTAGATCCGCGAATAAAGAAATTTATAGCCGCGAAAATTGGAATTTTCTTAATTTTTTTTAATCCGCGAATAGTGAAAACGCGAATGAAGGGAGCGTGAATAAGGATCTTTTACTGTATATTGTAAGAATTTTCCACAATAAATGCCTTTTTCAAGTGAAAAAATCATCAAAATTAACGCCACCTTCTAATTTTTATATATACTTTCGGAGAATAGGTGCTGCCGTATGATTTTCAAAATTTCCAAAATTTTTCAAGAAACCTAGCACTTAATAATAGCATACATTTTAGAATTCTAAACGAATGCGAAAAATAGCAATCAACCTTCCTAATAAAACTCAACCTTCCCATGGTGATATTTCCATAGTAGTTCCATAGTAGTAAGTTGACATACCAACTAATCGTACAGAATTTCATTCGCGTGGGTAAGCTATTCTTTGGACTAGACAGCATGCAAGGACTCCCATCGAAAATAAACCTTTATAACAAGAAAAAATGTTTAGTAAATTATGATGAAACTCCACACTCCGTAAGAGTGATGTAATGTAAAGCATAATTGAACGCAATTTGGGTCACTCTGGGTATTTTTTCCGGACACAATCGCATACAATGGTCCTTATAAAACACAAAGGAAGAATATTTCGCAAAACTTTGCACGACTTACGTCACTTCATTGTATACATGAACATAAGACGAAAATGTAAAGTAAAAATTTTGACGTATTATCGCGAAAATGAAAGAATAATTATGTTCAGTGAATTCTGGCTGGCGAAGTAGGTGAACACTTAACACACTCACATTCACTACACATTCACTTACACCTTAAAAATTTATAAAGATTCTATAGGGCAAAATCACTTTCATGAACCCCCCAATTGCGGCGAGCTAGTTAGATAACGTTAAAAGCCCTTTGAGCCGCTTTGCATGCTACATAGAATTTTTAATGGTCCGCCTTGGTCGATTATAATATTTTGACTTATTTCATAAATCTTATGCGTGTGTTCATCTATTCAAGCACAAAAACCTCGTAATTGCACTACTTAGAGATAAAAGATAGTGTAAGAAATTTGACTATTTCAAGAGAAATTCCATCAAAAGATTGTGATATAAGACTTCTAGCTAAAATAAGAATCTTCTTTCAAGGTTTTCTAATCTCTTTCTTTTCACTTCATTGGTGAAGGAATTCTTAAAAGGAAAGGAGATGTTATCTAATAATGAGACTAAAAATGAGAAGTAAGTGCTATCAATAACAAACGTGAGGTCTCGTTCCTAACATTTTTCCTGTGCGTTTAGAAAAGACGTTGAACCGTTTATCAGCATCATTTTCTCCGTTTCGCTCTGCTTCAAAACACTTAAGAGTCCCCATTCTTTTAATATTTTTCGTTTGTCTATGTCTCCTTTCTATTATTTGAAAATTTATTGCTCTAACTGGCAATGGGGAAAATTCGATATTCAGTTCAAAAAAATTATCTCTTTCAAAGCATGTTGATAATCGAATATACCTCTATGAAAATCGACAATATTCAGTAAGTGCTACGATTCATACACACGTGTAAAATAAATACTTTCTTTAAAATGACAAGAAATATTCCCTCGAGTAAGATGTCATTATGTCACATATGTTACATTTAATCTGTTTTAGAATCGAAGATGTTTGCCTTATGTACTAGCTTTTGCAAAGGCGAGGAAGGCCGCGAGTCACGATCCAGAAGAAGCCAGGGAAGAGAAGAACCGACGACGTCACCTTCAAATAAGAGCAGTGTTCATATTGAAACCATAAAATTGCCCTTAAAAGAAGGCTTAAGTTTTCAAATTCGCGGTCGAATAAAACATGACGCTATCAGGTAGCGAAGATGAATTTTTCAACATTTTGCGTATAATAGTTTCTTGGATTTTGTTTAGTTTTATTATTGACTTCCCAGTCGATAATAAAGATGGGGATATTGCTTTACGTATAGTCGGGGACGTGCACGGAAATTTAGTGTCGCGCTTGTCCCGAAGAAAGCACGAATGGAGCGAGCGCGAAACTTTATCAAAATCGCGCTATAAGTTGGCACCAGGGAAAAATTTCATGATAGAGGTCTTAACGTTAGAAGACAATTTTAAAGTTGCCGTTAATGGTTTCCATACTTCAAGTTTTTACCACGACTTTCGATTAAAAGATGTTAAAATGTTGGATGTTCAAGGTGACGTTAGCGATATTACCGTTGAGCAGAAGTTTGTTCAACAGTATCCAAAACGTCCAGCCAGATCTTTACACTTCGAGCATTTGTCCAAACGTGAAGAGTACCCAGATCGATCTGAGTCATCAGACATTGATGAATTCGAGGAGCCGTCAGACACCAACATGATATCATCCGCTCAGGAATGCTCAATCGAAAAATATCTTCCCGTTCCCTACTATGCGAGCTTCGATAAGAAATTTTTTGCGCACGGTTTCCGGGCAACGATAACTGGTCGTGCCCGTAGGATCGATTCATATTTTGCGGTTGTCTTTCAAACAGGCACACAAGACTGGCCATACCCGGAATGGTGTTTCCGAGTTATGTTTCAATATTACTGCAGTCAATGTGGCGCAAGTGCTCCCGTCGATGTCGATGAAGACGAGGAGCCTGTGGATGTACAGATTAACTCTGAAATTCGCCTAACCATAAAACGGGGACGCGACGACTATCGGAGTACCTTCAATGGAAGATCATTGCGGTCAAGGCCTTTCAAGTCGGATCCTGAGTCCGTTGATACAATTTTAATCTTTGGTGACATTCGTTTACTGGATCTTGAAATTGAAGATTAATAGAGACTTTTAATACTCTTTTTCTAAGAATTGCTAAATATCCCTTCAAAAAAAAAAATATACAGAGAGTCAAGAGCGATATAAATATAAAAAAACAAGTAAGAAATTTATATTCGGTCGTGACCAAATCTTTTATATCAATCGCCGTTATTTTAAAAATGATTTAAGAAAAGAAAAAAATTAAATTATCATATCCATTAATATAGGCCGGGAGCGGCCGATTTTTTGTGTTGTAGGGAGATTTTTTCTAAGTGGAAAAATTTATATGGTGTACGCGCTGGGCTTTAGGAGCATTAAGCAAACAAAATTGAAACCTAAAAAAGATTGAAAAAAAAATTTAAATTTTGATACACTATAACCTTGGGTAAGTGTAGTCAATTTTTTCCATTTTTTTAGGTGCTACAGCATCGTCCATAGAATATGCGTTCCAGCTTATGTAGGTTTATCTACTGTACTTTATGGGTAATAAGCAAAAAACCAATATTCTATTCCTTTTGAAAACTGTATGCACTTAGTTTACATATTACATCAGGTGGGCCCTTTGACCGCTTTGACGCATTTCCAAAACCATCCTGTGTGCAAGAGCTGCCAATGTTTTTGCCAAACTTGAAGCCGATAGCTTCAATTTTTCGGTCAGAAGTGTCTTTAGCAAACGTTACACGGACGGACAGACAGACAGACGGACCTGCTTAAATCGATTCAAAATTTGATGCTGATTAAGAATACAGACACTATGTGGGATCTCTGATGCATACCTCGGGGCTCTGCAAACGTATTGAAAAGGTGAAAAGAGAAGTTTTTTTGATTAACTCAAAGAGAGCTATCTCATAACTTCTCTTTCTCTCTCAAACATTCTCTTCTCTCAAACATTCAAAATCAGTTAAATTACTTCAATTTCGCTCGACATTTAAAAATTTGATAATTGTAAAATAGAAATTTAATATAATTTTAAATAATATATCGTTTGCAAAACGAGTAAATTTTGTGTAAAAATTACGTAAAACAAAATCTATTGGTAGTTGGAACGTTTTGTGTCTTACTGTGAAAAAAAAAAGTTGAAAAAATATCTTGAAAACGGGCATTATGTTCTCGATAATTCACGGTACAGTTAAACTCTGTGATACACTTAAGGGGCGTAATCTGCTACCAGAAAATAGTATAGACAATTTTTATTTAGAGGAAGCCTATGTAAAGCCGGTTTATGAGACAGATGAGCTTCGACATTTATCAGAAGGCCTATCTTTCACAATAATGGGCAAAGCGCTTCCAAAAGCGGAAGGGTATAATTTAAGACCCGCTTGGAGAAATCTTATCTAATTAATGTATATATGTGTTCTCTGTTCTCTGCTCTAGATTCGCTGTAGATTTTCGACGAGAAAATCTGGAAAGAGACATCGCTTTGCGAGTGACGGTGCTGGCAAATCGCAACTTAATAGCACGTAATTCTAGAAAGAGCTTAATATGGGGAGTTGATGAGCTTGACACGGAATTAGCATTTAAACTTCAACCGGGAAAATATATACAACTACAAATCCTAGTCACCAATGAAGCCTTCATGATAGCCCTTAATGGTTTCCATATAGCAAAGTATACGCATCGTATGTCTTTGGAAAATATAGACAAGTTCCTAGTTCATGGATGTGTAGCTAATGTTAATGTGGAACAAAAATTCGTCGACATTTATCCGCAAAGTCCTGACAAAACGCTGCACATGGAACGCGTGTCGGCTCGTGCTTTGGATAGAGAAGACGATGACGTAATCACTGTCGATGATGATGATGAT